AACAGCTCGCAGGATTGTGAGAAAAACAATTCAAAACCCACGTTTGACTGCACGATCCCTCCAGAAAGATCTGGCTGACACTGGAGTTGTGGTACACTATTCCACTATAAAGAGATACTTGTACAAATATGGTCTTCATGGAAGAGTCATCAGAAGAAAACCTCTTCTACGTCTTCACCACAAAAATCATCGTTTGAACTTTGCAAATGAACATATAGACAAGCCTGATGCATTTTGGAAACAAGTTCTGTGGACCAATGAGGTTAAAATTGAACTTTTTGGCCGGAATGAACAAAGGTACGTTTGGAGAAGGGGCACAGAATTTAATGAAAAGAACCTCTGTCCAACTGTTAAGCATGGGGTTGGATCAATCATGCTTTGGGGTTGTGTTGCAGCCAGTGGCACAGGGACCATCTCACGAGTAGAAGGAAAAATGGATTCAATAAAATTTCAGCAAATTTTGGATGGTAACTTGATGCCATCTGTGAAAAAGCTGAAGTTAAAGAGAGGATGGCTTCTACAAATGGATAATGATTCTAAAAACACACCTCGAAATCCACAGTGGATTACATCAAGAGGCGTAAACTGAAGGTTTTGCCATGGCCTTCACAATCTACTGACCTCAACATAATTGAAAATCTATGGATAGACCTTAAAAGAGCAGTGCGTGACAGACAGCCCAGAAATCTCAAAGAACTGGAAGACTTTTGTAAGGAAGAATGGGCAAAGATAGCTCAAACAAGAATTGAAAGACTCTTGGCTGGCTACAAAAAGCATTTACAAGCTGTGATACTTGCCAAAGGGGGCAGTACAAGATATTAACTCTGCAGGGTGCCCAAACTTTTGCAGATACCATTTTTTTTTTGTTATTTTGAAAGTGTAAATGATGGAAATAAAATCTAACTTTTGTTGACATAAGAATGTCTAATCTGTAAATTTGATGCCTTTGAGATTTTTCCATCTTTCCTTGGCTTCTTTATGCACATTAATACAAATTTTTAGTTGGGGTGCCCAAACGTTCGATCCCCACTGTATGCTTTGATAAGCTGCTATACTGTGATTTTGCATACTTCAACTTTACCCATGTCCTGCCATGAAAATGTGGAAAAAAAAAAAAAACCCCACACTTTAAAATGTTAATAGTATTTTCTTTTATGCTAATCTTTCATAAAATTGGCTTATGTCAGTCCTACAATGGTGAGGTGCAACCTTTAACCCCTTGACGCCGACGTAACACAAATATGCGGCCTCACGGACCTGGGCTTTTTTCCGTGGGGCCGCATATTTGCGTACCTGTCTTTGTGCTGGGAGGCGCCGCTCGGCGCGCTCCCAGCACCAAGACCGCGGTGTCACTGAGAGCCCCGGGTCCCTTTCTAACGATCAGGACCCGGGACTCCCGATTCCGGTTCACGTGATCGCTGTGATAGCCAATCAGAGACTATCACAGTGATCAATCACTGTGCAGCCCGGCCCCTTTGTTTCTCTCTCTCTATGAATGGAGAAGAGAGATACATTGTATCTCTCGAACTCCTGACAGAGAGAGAAAAAAAAAAAAAAAAAAAAAAAGATAAATAAATATTAAAAAATAAAGAAAAATACCTAGATCAAGGTTTGATCTAGTTCAGTACCAGGGTTAGTGTTTGGGTCAAGGTCAGGGTCAAAGGTCAGGGTCAAGGGCAAAGGTCAGGGTCAAAGGTCAGGATTTAAAAAAAAAATTGGTGTCAGTGTAGTGTTAATGTCAATGTCAGTGACAGTGTGTTTTATGTAAAAAAAAATAAATAAAAAAAAAGACAAAAACAAAATGCGCACTGTTGTTTCTGGGCTGTACTACGGGTACAAACAACAAAATAACATACACATATATGGTATCGCTGCGATCGTCAAGAACTGGAGAATGTATTTTGGGTTGTTCTTTGGTGTAGGTTATGGTCGTAACAAGAAACACAGTTAAATTTAAAAAAATGATTTTTTTTTACTATTTTGGCCCAGTTTTCCTTTAATAATAAAAAAAAAAAATTAGGAGCTATCCATGACCATTTACCACCAAATGAAAGCCCAATTTGTCCTGAAAAAAACAAGGTATAATCCACCTGGATGTACAAAGTAGTTGTGACGATATGTACGGTTTTACTAACATGTCAACGTTGCAGAATTGTGCTTAGGCATTTAGATTTGTTTTACCCTTAGGCGTGAAGGGGTTAAGCTGAAAGCCATGCAATTTTTGACCATTATAGCAAAATACACACTTTGTCAATGCTATTAATAAGAAAAACAGCAAAGTGTACAAGTTTAGAATTGTTAGAGAACCGTTTATTTTTAAAAGATAGGTCTATGTCCCTCCATAGTATGTGCTTCATGCAGACATAGCAAAACAGATTCCTGCAAGGTAAATCATCTGTCATTGCACATTTTTAAGTCACAACTTGACAAAGATGAGAAAAAAAAAAAAAAGTTTTTCCTTGTTTTTATTGAAATATGGGAAGGGGGGGGGCACATACAATCAGTACAACATATCAGCAAGAGTGTTCCACAATAATACCAGTAACTTACAATAAACTATCACTACTAAAAGTATGTGTACACAAATAAGCAGCCCTCTCATTTTTTCATGCTTAAATTAATGGCATAGTTAATTGGCAAAAAAGGCACTAGGAATATAGTATATAAAAATCAAAATATATGAATACAGTTATAAAACCTATTAGCCTTATTTAGTAAAAAGTTTGAAAAGTGTAGTTCCCAAAAAATATAAAGGAAACCAGTTACAGCACTAAATACACTTCCAATATATGAGCCTGCATGGCATGGCTTTTAAAAAGGCACTTGAGTGGCAGAGAGCTGTGCACAAAATCATGTGATTTCCAGATATTCTACCCCTGCTGTCAATATTACACAGAAAAAAAAAAAAAATTTAAAATAAGCACGACTGCAGGACTCCAAAAATCGAGCATCAGTGGGATGTGCTTGGAAAAAGAAGAAAAAAAAAAGAAAAGAAAAAAATCCTGATCTATGGAAGTCCCACCTTGCAACTTGCAAAACTCAAAGGATCTGCTACTGACATTTTGGTGCCAGATACCACAGCATACCTTCAGGGGTCCAGTTCATTGACAAGGTATGGTGGGTGGTCATATTGCTATGGCTGACCAGTGTATGTAAACCGTTTTACAACAAAAGAATTTCCATCTGTTTTTGATTCACACATCTCTACAGACCATACAGAAGTAAGAATCAACAGACTTGGGTGAAAAAGGAAGCTGCAAAAAAGGTAAGCCAACAGTTTGTCCAGGAGACCATAAATCAGCAGTATGGTACCGATTACCTTCAGCTCATTTCACCCGGCAGAGTAGTGGCAACAAGTGTACTGCTGATTCAGTGTCCAGGGAAAGTATGCAAATTAAGCAGGGACCAGCCGAGACTCAATCCATCTATGAGGAGATTTAGTACTGAGGCTAGCTGTACTGAAGGTGCTCCAATAATAGACTTCAGTACAGCCAGCCTGTTGAATTATTTTTGCACAATTACTGCCAGGGGCTATAGTTGCCAGTAGTAATCTTTGTGTGCTGCCAGCGGGGAAGGCTCTCTACCGGCAGAAAATAGAATTTTTTTTTGGGGGGGGGGGGGGGGGGGGGTCTTCCCCCATTAACGACTCTTGATGGGGGAATCAAGTGATTTTTTTTTTCCTCCAACCTGTAGATATTCTAACACATGCAGGACAATGAGAAATGGATTTGGTTGCTAAATTGAAATTACAGGAAGTTCTACACTCAGACACTCTGTGCCAATTATACCAAGCTGTAAGCAATGTAAAATGACTTCAGTGCAAAAGGTGACAAGAAAAACTACAGCATACATTAAAAAAATGGTCCAAAGTTAAATTGACAATTATACATGTAATTGGGAGTGTTACATTAGGAGGAAAAAAACCCCACTAACTATATACATATGTATTAATCTTAGCACTGGTAAAGTGAACTCACAGTTATGTGGCAGGCAAGACAGCCTTCACATACATTTTTCATATTTTCTTCCAGTACCTAAAATACTGGCAAAGGAAAATACTGTACCCTATCAAAATCTTTGGAATGGGAGAAAGGTCAAAATACATTTCTATACATAAATATTTTTAAACCTAAAACCACTGCTGCCAGTGTGCCACCTCAGCCAACAAACTAACAAATTGTGAACAAGTGACAGGAGAGTACATAGAAGATGGCTTCTCATGTTCAAAAGTGCAAGCAACCAAATTTGTTAAGTCTTTAAAGTGGTTATAAACCCTTACATAGAGCCAGTGAAGGGACTAGCCTAGTTGATAGACAGCTTAAACAAATCCTCCTACATACAAGTTGTATCTGTTTATCTGCAGCCTCTCCTCTACAACCTCCTAACACAAACATCTTATCCAGCTCTGACCTAGCAGGCAGGGATCAGAGACAGACCGTAAAATAAAAGCTGACTGGAGGAAAGTGACCACCCTTCACAGGTTCAGAGAAACAGAGCTAAGGGTATGAGTTATCTGCTGTGTTGCTAGATTAAACTACTAGGAATGAGTCATACAGATAACAGAGAAGAGATTAGAGAAGAACCAGACTTTGTGCTCTGGATTCAGGTTAGTACACTATAGTGGGATGTGCTTTGTTCATTTTTCAGGATTACAAACACTTTAAAAATAATGAAGGCTGTCAAGGACTCATTAGAAGATTTGATCTAGCGCACTTATTGAACATGATTTGTTTACTGTACAGTTCTACATTACTGATATGTAGGCACCCACAGGTCACCTTTCAGCAATCTAATAGCGACAGCTTGAAATGGGTAACCACATACCACACCTTTTGCTTTGGTATTAAACACCTCAAGTGCCAAAAGATGGAAAATCTTTATATATTTATACAAGCACTGGTTCAGTGGGCCACTGCTGCAGACAACGATTAAGAATTGGTACATATGAGAATCAATCTTTTTAACAGTCCACAGAAGTTGGCAACACAGGCTTCCAAAACTCAATTATCAAACTTTGAATAAGGATTATCTTCTTTAAACAAGCCTAGAAGAGAAACAAAAAACTCAAATAAGAATCTATGAATGTTCCAGTCTTAAAACATGTAAAGAAAAAAAACAAAAAAAAAAAAAAAAAAAAAACGTAAAAATGACATATTACACTCACAAGGGAACTGGGGATAGCAAGTGCAAAGATAATGAAAATGTGTGAATTTTTCTTAAAACAAACAATCCAAACTACAACAGGGCTTATGTATAAATTGTGTACGAATACATTTTTCTGTTTCCCTTCGAAACCACTCAGTTTCTAAGTGTGCTTTCTGCAGTCTGCAAAGTTGAAACAAGCAGTCTGACTGCTTATGAGCCTCTACCTACAACTGAATGAACAATGGCTTGTGTAAAGGGCTGGCTTTACTTAAACGCAAGTAGTTTGCCACAAGGTGGCAGATCAGGCTCACAATTCCAACAGCCAACATTCTCAAAACTAAAAAAGCATAACTCATTGAGAATGCCAGCCAAATACTCAAACAGATCTAGAGAAACATTTTAATGGCCTTCACCTTGCTTACCCTTCTAAAACAAAATAAGCTAGCATACTAAAGATCACTGCTGTGAATACAGAAACAAAAAAAAAGAAAAAAAAAAAAAAAAAAAAAAAAAAAAAAAACCACAAACAAAAAGATGTAATAAGATCAACCATTCTTAACCAAGGTTCCTTTAGTCTAGGTTTGCACCTATGTGTTTTCCGGAAACGCACAGCAGTCCATTTTACATGATTTCCTATGGGACCAGTTCACCCAGTGCATTTTTTGGAAAGGGTCAAGGACTTTTTTTTTTTTTTTTTAAACACAAAACAGTGTGTGTTTTTGGTTCTATAGATTTCAATGGAGATGCTTCAGTAAAGCATGTAGTGCGTTTTGCATTTTTTTGTTCTTGTTGCTGGGAAGAATAAAATGCAGTAAAAACCATGTGCAAAAACACACGTGCAGAAACGGAGCAAATACAAACTGCATAGGTATGAACCTAGCCTTAAAGACTGTTGATGTCTCCTTGAGCTGGAGCGGATTGCAGGCACCATTAAATGGGAGGTCAAAGTTCCTGGGATCAACACCTGTTGGCAAAGCCCCTAGCATGATGCAAATTTTTAGCCGGCTTTGCATGTGGCATTCTCACGACAGAGGGTTGTATTTTTCCTACAGACCCATCAAAGGAAGGGGTATTTTTCCAACTGACTCCCAATGAACTGGTTTTAGTAAAAAAGTTCCCAGAGACCTGAAAAATTTGAGGGGTTGCTCTGGGGTTAAACACTGATAAAAAGGTTGGCCTTTCACTTTATTATTTTTTATACACTCAGTCACTAAGCCTGTATCTTTATAAACTGCAGTTCATCAAAAATATACAAACCATCACCTAACACTGTAGAAACGTTTGGCATCCACGGAAGCTAAAGAATGACCACTTCTACCCTGGAGTGAACACAAGCAGCATTGTGGCAAAACTCTGACCCCTCAATCACCGCCCCCCCATACGAGTTATGAAACAGCAGCTAAAACAGATCAACAACGTAAATCATGGCATATAGAATGAGACAACAGGATCTGTCTAATGTATGTGGGAAGAGGTGTTGTTGCTAATGAAGAGGAAATGTACCTTCCCATTTCTAGCCTTATGCTGGGCTAGCAATTGTGTAGAACTTTGAAATAATAATACTATAAAAAAAAAAAAAAAAAAAAAAAAAAAAAAAAAAATCAATCTTGAAAAATGCAACAAACTGTTAGACACTCACCAGCCACTTTTCATTGTTGCACATGTTCAATTGCTTGGTAACACAACTTGCTAATCAGCCAATCACATAGCTGCTTGCTATGGGAGCACTTGTGTAGGCTCGCTCCTAAGCCCGACTGCGCATCTATTGGCACGCAGTGCGACTCAGCGCCCCCCCCCCCCCCCCCCCAGCCCATTTCTCCTGACAGGATGTCATAGACAGCTGCAGAAGCAATTAGCTTGTGCTGTTGCCCGAGACTCCTGAGTTGGGGGGGGGGGGGGGGGGGGGGGGTGGTAGGACATGGAAAAAGGTGCTTAGTACCTGTAATAAATGCAGAGACTGCATCAAAAGTTGAAAATCTTTTACGTTTACAACCACTTTAGCGTGGACCTATACTTTAAGTGATATTAAACCCAGAGAATTAAAAAACCACAGACAAGCAGAACTTATCACAGAAGAGATCCTATTGGTTTCTTCTGTTATACAAATACTTCCTCTCACCTGTCAGCAGTAATGTACACTGAGCCGTGCATGCTATAATGATGTAATAATGAACCTGGAAGGAAGACTGGGAGAAGATGGACATGTCTGGGACAAACACCGGCAAATTTGTCATAATGTACTAATAAGCGGTAAATACTAGCATATTATGGCATAAAAAAGGTTCCTGGGGGCCCAGGCAAAAAAAAAAAAAAAAAATTATATCTATAGCGTTTTAATTCTGCCATATTCTAAATTTTTCTAGCTGGGATTTTATTAGCAGGTTAACAAAGACTTCTCACATGTGACAGTACCCTTCTTTTAGCATTACAGATGTCTGCTGGAATTTGATATCAGAGGCATATCCTGCTCACTCCCATTTGATTGTATTAAACTAAATGGTTCTGGACATGGGTTCTAGGAAGAGGAAGAGATGCCCAAAAGGTTATCTTGCACCTCCACAATATGATGGCTACCTTGGAGGCACAGAAAGAACTGATCCATAGATTAGAGAAAAAAAAAAAAAAAAAAATTCACATCTGACTTTTCTTGAACTTTCTGAAGATTGACTAGGTCAACTATTCGAGGCCCAACCAAGATTTTGTACTACATGAGGCAGCAAGTGTTCATGTTTCACAACAAGAAGAAATCACACTTGCTAAGAAAGCAAGGGAAACCATACAATATATTCGAAGACTGGGCATTGACATTTTAATTCCAATAAATCCAGAGAGATGGTGTGTTAGGCGATGGAATACAAGTGTGCAGACAGAATCTCCCTGTAAATCTGCTCTTACCACTCCAAGGAAGAAAAAAAAAAAAATAAATTCTCACTTAAAAATGGTAGTAGAAACACCAATCTGCATGTCACCTTAAGATATTAAAATCTGGAACATATTTATAAGAACAGCTTGAATCCAGTATTTGTGGAATTTCAGCATTTGTGGAAGATATACAATTTGACAGAACCAAATGCAGAAGGATAGGCCTGCACTTCAAACAAAAAACCCTACACGTGAATCAAAATTTGAAAAGGTGTTAAAAATGTACAGTGGGGAATACTTGATCCTTCAGATTTTTTTTAAGTTTTCCCACTTACATCTATGATACAAAGAAATTAAGGGTCTATAATTTTTTTATTTTAAATGATATAGAAAGATTAACCAAAACATCCAGAAAAAAGAAAACCCTGATACAAAATGTTATGAAATGGAGTTGCAGTTTAGCGAGCAAAATAAGTATCTGATCCCTAAGCAAGACATGACTGTGCTTGCCAACAAGTGTTTCTCCAAGTACTGACGTACGACGTTTCTTGTAGTTGGTTACCAGGTTTGCACTTCTCAGGAGAGATTTTGGTCCACTTTACAGATCTTCTCCAAATCCTTAAGGTTTCAGGGCTGTCACTTGGCAACTTGAAGTTTTGACTTCCTCCATAATTTATAGGATTAAAAGGTCTGGAGACTGGCTAGGCCACTCCATGACCTTAATAGGTTTCCTCTTGATCCACTCCTTTGCCTTGGTGGTATGTTTTGGGTCATTGTCATGCAGCAGTGTTCTGGCTGAGGGAAGAAGGTTCTCATCCAAGATTTTACAATACATGGCCCAGTCCACTGGTCCCTCAATGCAGCAAAGTTGGCCTGTACCTTTAGCAGAGAAACAGCCCCATAATGTTTCCACCTCCGTGCTCGACTGTAGGGATGGTGTTACTAGGGCATTTTTCTTCCTCCTAACACAGCAAGTCGAGTTCAAGCCAAAAAGTCGAACTTTGGCCTCATCTGACCACGGCACTTTCTCCCAATCTTTCTCTGAATCATTTAGATATTCACTGGCAAACTTCAGGCCGGCCTGTACACATGCCTTCTTGAGGGGAACCTTGAAGGCACTGCAGGATTTCAATCCATGGCACCGTATTATTTTACCAAATTGTTTGGTGATGGTGGTCCCAACTGCCTTGACATTCACAAGCTCCTCCCATGTAGTTCTGGGCAGATCCCTCACTTATCTCATGATCATCCTTATCCCATGAGGCAAAACCTTGCATGGAGCTCCAGACTGAGGGCGATTGATGGTTATTTTGTATTTCTTCCATCTTCCTTCTTAAATGGACAATGCTAATCTGTGTACCAGGCTGGGAGCCAGAATTATTGTTGGTTGGTAAGGGATCAAATACTCACTCACTGAACGGCAACTCAATTTCTAATATTTATATTGTGTGTTTTCTGGATTTTTGATTGATATTCTCTCATTTTAAACACATGCTAAAAATTAATCAACCCTTAATTTCTCTGTAAACGGGGGGGGGGGGGGGGGGGGGGGAACAAAAAAAAAAAAAAAAAAAAAAAAAACCACGACTATTCTCAGAAGGCACAAGCAAATTGAGCAAGCCAACAACCAGTGGCAAAATTAAAATGTTCACCATAGTGTAAGGGCATAGACAACAACCTCGAACAGTCGAGCAATACAAAAATTTACCATATTTCTTCCTTATTTCATCGTGTCGTGTTTTTTCATTTGGGTCCTCCTAGAAGAAAAAATAAAAGTTATATAAACCCATGCCATAAGTAATCAGAATTTTTAGCCATTAAAAAAAAAAAAAAAAAAAAAATATAAAAAAAAAAAAAAAAAGGCGGGGGGGGGGGGCAGTCAATAAGAAGGGAAAGAACAAGAATAATTACAAGCAATACTGTTGCCTAGTTCTTTTCCCTTTTTTAGCACAGTTTCCAGAGTTCAGTCTTTGTTTTAAATAAAATAGTATCTACACAAACGTTATGCCCAAACACATTTTAGGTTTTGAGAGTTAACTATGGGGGGGCCAATTGAACCACTATGAACATTTTATTTACCGTTCTTCCTGGCGAACTTTTCTCTCTTCATTTTCTCTCATCGTTCTCTCAGTCTCCAAGCTGGAACTGTTGAACATATAAAGAAAAAAAACAAAAATCATTCACTCCTGGTTTACTCACATTTTAACTGAACGTAACAAAACAAAAAAAAAAAAAAAAAAAAAAAAAGGGTGCTCTTATATGCAAATTCTATCAATTTCTTGAATGTCCAGGTATGGACTGGACTGCCTCCTCACTGGTCCATCATTACGCAGAATGGTCTTACTGGCCAACAGGAGTGTGAGTGGGTGGGCCCGTTCTCACAGAAGGGACTTGTCAACATAAAAATTGACAGAGCTTAGGATTTAAGGATCTGAAAGTACACAAGTTGGGTGGTACATAGAAATTATGAAATGCTATACTTACGAAACCTCAATGAATAAAGTCTACAAAACACTTCCTTAGAAGGTACAAAAGCCAATTGTTCTCATGGAGAAAAGTTAACTGGTCAGGTTGAATTTTCCCAGTAAATACGATGCCCTAAAATAAAAATTTGGTCTTGCAATACAAGTGTGCGGGGTTCACATGCGGTCCAAAGACCACCACAACTTTTAGCATTACCCATTTTCCAGCCACAATTTGCTTATAGAGGACTTTAATCTAAATAGGATATTTGCACTTCCATAGCTGAAAAATTGCCATTGCATTGGGCTCCCCAGAAGTTTCACTAAGACTTAAATAGCTTTTGTGATGTGGTTTCCTTTAATCTAGCACTAGTTTTTAAAATCTGAAAAAAAGCTCCTTGCAATGCTATCAAAATTCTTACGTATCCTGCTACGCACACTGTGGAACTCCACGTGTTGGAGAAAACCTTGCTGAATAATCTTCAGCATAATTCAGAATGTCATAAAATGTCTGGTTCCCTACTGTGTGCCGTGGTTCCTTCTATATTGCTACTACTAGGTCCCACATTTAGTATTCTGTACATTTAGTACTCCCAGACTGAAGGGTGGGCTTTGCCTCCCATGGAGATGCATATGTGCAGCGTGTGGGTATTAGAGTTTTCTGTAATGAGCATTCCCACCGCACACAATGCAGTGACCAAACCGCTCCCAATCTCAAGTACTGATTAGATCTGGTGGGAATGACTCTTGTTCATGTGACCACTGACAGCCAGCCAATCAGTGGTCACATGACCAGGCAGACCTTGCCCCCCAGGCATAATGGCTCAGCTAGAGACATTGGAACTGGGTGGGAAGGGGTTAAACAGGTGATGACTAAATACAGGGGGTTGCTGGCCTACTGGCAGGACCGGGACAAGGGGTGGGCAAGAGCGGCAGCTGCCCTGGGCGCAGTGAAGCAAGGGGGCAAAGAATGGATGCAGGGTGGTATACCCATTCTTTAACATGTAATAACAGTGGCGGAGGGGGGTTGCAGTTCTAGATCCTTGCCCTAGAAGCTGAACAACCCTGTCCCGGTATTGCCTACTAACTTCAACATTTTACTGAACCACTGACCTGCAACTAGTATGCACAATGAAAACATCAAAATTACACTGAACCCAGTGTGTCACAATATGAACTAAAAGCTTAGTCAATTTTTGCTATAGATGATGCCATTCAAATAAGTATTTACAGGATAAAGCCTCTTTAAACATCAGGGACACAATGGAACCATAAACATTCTGCACTGCATTCACTTCTGCAAACAAAGTGACACTGTGTGAATGCAGAAGCACAAACCGTGATCTGACTATACTTACTTTCGGTTCTTCTTTTTCCTACAACAGCAGCAACAGCAGACAACCAGAGACAAAATAATAACTCCACCAACCACAGACATGGCAATGATTAGAGCTTCAAAATTCACTGTAAAACAGAAAAAAAAAAAAAAAAAAAAAAAAAAAAAAAAAAGTTTATTTCCAAAGCAAAAAACACCCATATATATGTAGTCTCTGCATCTATTTTTCCAAATAAAAACGGGTTAGACAAAAATAAATACTACATGATTAGCAGGTGTAAAAGTGACATGTTTTGTGTTGAAAGTGGAAGTGATGTAACATTCTTTTGCTTCTGCTGTGTGATGACACCTAGCAAACAGGTGGGAAGCCTCATTTTCATCATTCAGTGCGTACGCTGCTAATAGAGAGTCAGGTCAGAGCTTACTGAGATTCAAAGAGGGCAAATTGTTGGTGACCGTTTAGCTGGTGCCTGACTGAAGTTACCGTGTCGCGAGGTAAAGTATCAACGGTTATGACAGCATATACAGTTTCAGGGAAAAAAAGTGCGATAAGCATAAGCACTGTCGACTTGGTCAACTGGCCGAAAAAAAAAGTCATAATTCCAGATTTGCTTACTGGTTTTGGAAGAGTACTGAAGCCATGCAATCACTCATTTTCAGCAGTTAGCAAAAGGTAACCTGTGTATTTGTTTCAGTATAGGATTCCTTCAGGCCTGGTTCACACTAGTGTGATTTCAGATGCAACTTGAGTCACACAGAATCACATGACAAGAAAAATTACATTGTTTTCAGTGGTGTGTCCACATCAATCTGACTCATGGAGCCATTTTGGAAAAAGGTCCCTGTACCATTCTGCTTTTATTCCAGAGCAATTTTGGCACCATAAAAATATACAAACCCTATCAAAGATGCATCCAAATTGTACTCAATTTTTCCTATGCAAAAAATGGATGCAAACTTTTTTTTTTTTTCTGAAAAGACATTTTATTTTCAGGTAGAATTATATAAATCACACCGAAATTTAGATCAAAATCATATTGAAGCCCTGTGTGATCTTAGGGGGTTATTTACTAAAAATGAAAAGGGCAAAACCTCGTGCAACTCTACACAGAAAAATCAGCTTCCTAGTTGTATTGGCAAAGCTTAAAATTGAACAAGCTGAAGTTAGAAGCCATTGGCTACCATGCACAGCTGCACCAGGTTTAGTACATCTCCCCCTTAGGCTAGGTTCATACCTACGCATGTTGCATTTGACGGAGAAAAAAAAAAAAAAAAAAAAAAACAAAAAAAAAAAACAAAAACAAAAAAAAAACACAACACGCACGTCAAAAACGCAATGCAGAATCTTTTTTTTTTTTTTTTTTTTTTTTTTTTAATTCTTGCCAGGCAGATTTAAAACCGCAAAACACATCAAAAACACAATACATGGTTTTCTGCAGCGTTTCCATTGAAGTCTATAGAAACAAAACACAACTTTTTGCATTCAAAAAAAGTCCGACCCTTTTCAAAAAATGCACTAGGTGAAATTGCACAGGCGTGAACACGTCCCATAGGAAATCATGTTAAAAATGGACTGTACTGTGTTTCTGCAGATCACTTTAGGTGTGAACCTACAGTTAGAGTCTTTCCTATACTGAAGCACGTTACTACCTCCTACACTAGAGTGGCTGGATTTTGAATTCCAGTGTCTCATTTCCATCACTACATTACAAAATTCTACAGGTTCATTAAAATGAAGCAAACATAGCTGTACTTAGAATTACAATCTACATCTTTAATTCCACAGAATGCAGCAGGAAAGCTGGGCCTCACAGTGCTTAAACCAAGTCATATGGGAGCACATGACATTATTAGCCAAAGGGCTCAAATAACTTTTCTAACAAGAAAGACAATTTATTCATTTTGTGCAACCCGAGGATACAAAAAACCAGATCCTAACTAAAATGGAATAATAAAATTGCTAACATCCAAAGCCAAAACTACCAATCGAAGGAGAAAAGCGCATGAGAAGCCAGTTATGAAAATTAAGAGCTGAACTCCAGGCAAACAGATAAATTAACTATTTAAACCTAAAAAGAGGATTAGCATTTCCATTCAGCCAGGCACTGCTACCAGACAGCACAGCTAGGTCAGTGATCTTGCTTTTCCAGACTGTAGTTGAAAATAAATCATAGGATGCATGCATTAAAAGTGGTTGCAAAGGCTCAGTTTTTATTCTATGCACGAAGGTAAAAAACCCTTCTCTGTTCAGCTTCCCCCCAGCCACCCCTAATACTCACCTAAGCCCCCTCTCAATCTAGCAATGCGCTGGAGTCTTGGCTATTCCAGGACTCCAGTGCAATGTACACTGGAGTCTTGGCTATCCCAGGACTCCCTCTCCACATTGGTTCCCACTGTTGTCAATCACAGTCAGTGAGCCAATAAGAGGGGTAGGGCCAAGCCACAGCTCAGTCTGTGAAAGGACAGAGCAGCAGCTGCCCCATAGCAAGCTGCATGTTGTGGGAGCATCGAACAGGAGGGAGGGGGCCAGAAGCACTGGCAGGGTACCCGAGGAAGGAGGATCAGGGCTGTTGTATGCAATGCCTTCCCCCCTTTGACAATTGTTTGTTACTTGGCCCTTTCGACTTATTAAACCACCCCTTTTCTGATCCACTACCAATAACTGACAGAAGGAAACACACTGGATATAAAATGTCTACAAACCCGTTAAAATGTCAGGTTTCTGTGATGTGAAAACATTTCAGAACTTTATCCACCTTTAATGTAACCTATAAACTGTACAACTCAGTTGAAGAAAAAACTGAAATCTTTTTAGGTAGAGGGAAGCAAAAAACAAATATGGTTGCATAGGTTTGCACACCGTTCAATATTATTTTGAAGCACCTGTTGATTTTATTCCAGCACTCATTTTGGGTAGGGGTCTATCAATACGGCACATCTTGACTTGGCAAGATTTGCCCACTCTTCCTTGCAGAAACAGTCCAAATCTATCAGATTGCAAGGGCATCTCCTGTGCACAGCCTTCTTCAGATCACCCCACTGATTTTCAATCAGACTCAGGACTAGGCCATTCCAAAAAAAACTTTAATCTTCTGGTGAAGCCATTCCTTTGTAGATTTAGATGTATGCTTTGGGTTGTTGTCATGCTGAAAGATGAAGTTCCTCTTCATGTTCAGCTTTCTAGCAGAAGCCTGAAGGTTGTGCCAATACTGTTATTTGGAATGGTTCATAATTCCCTCTACCTTGCCTAAGGCCCCAGTTCCAGCAGAAGAAAAAAAACTCCAAAGTATGATGTTAGCACCACCATGCTTCACTGTGGGTATGGTGTTCCTTGGTGATGTGCAGTGTTTTTGCACCAAACATATCTTTTGGAATTATGGCCAAAAAGTTAAACCTTGGTTTCATCAGACCAGAACACATTTTCCCCAGATGCTTTTTGGGTTACTTCAGATGCGTTTTTGCAAAATTTAGCCGGGCTTGCATGTTTCTTCGTAAGAAAAGACTTCCGTCTTGCCACTCTACCCCATAGCCCAGACATATGAAGATTACAGGAGATTGTTGTCACATGTACCACACAGCCAGTACTTGCCAGATATTCCTGAAGCTCATTTAAGGTTGCTGTAGGCCTCCTGGCAGTCTCCCAGGCCAGTTTTCTTATCTTTTCATCAATTTTGGAGGGACGTCCAGTTATTGGTAATGTCACAGTTGATCCATATTTTCTCCAATTGATGAGTGACTGTCTTCACTGTATTCCCGGATATATCTAATGCCTTGGAAAGGTTTTCTCCTAGACTAAGCTCGAAAGAGTAGGGCCCTCTAACCCATCGTGTGCTGTTTGTAGTTGCTGTACCGTTTCATGTATTGTTCCCCCCTCTATTGTACAGCGCTGAGCAAACCCTTTGGCGCTATATAAAACTCGATGTAATGTAATAATGTTTTTACCCTTCTCCTGAGATCCCTTTGATGCTTTGGAAGCTCTCTGCAGACCAAGGCTTTTGCTGTGCGATACAACTAAGAAGCTGTCAGGAAAGACCTACTAGAACAGTTGAACTTTATTTGGGGTTAATCAGATGCACTTTAATATGATGGCAGGTGTGTACCGACTCCTATTAAACATTATTTTGAATGAGATTTCTTAATTCTGAACACAGTTACATCCCCAGTTTTCAGAGGGTGCACACTTATGCAACCACATGATTTTAGTTTGTTTACTTTCCCCCTAAAAGATTTCAGTTTGTTTTTTCAGTTGAGTTGTACAGTTTATAGGTCACATTAAAAAAAAAAAAAAAAAAGGTGGAAAATTTCTGAAATTTTTAATCGGTCTCATTTTTTTTACACCACAGAAACCTGACATTTTAACAGGGGTGTGTAGAATTTCTATATTACACATACACACACTTTGTTCTCTTGTATACCTACTCAATGATATTTGCTTCCTCCTGTTCTCTCTTTCAAAAGAAAGAAAAAAAAAAAAAAAAAATTGTAACAAAAAGCTATCAAAAAGCTAACAAAAAAAAAAAAAAAAAAAAAAAAAAAAAAAAAAAAAAACTTTCCCCAAGAACTCGTCCTGCTATATACTTGTAGGACTTCACAGTTGAGTTTGTTTTATTAGAAAACCTGGTAAAAAAGTCGCTGCAAAAAAAAAAAAAAAAAAAAAAAAAAAAAAAAAACCTGTTTAAACCTACAAATGGACACATGCACACAGACTGAAAATAAAATATTTACTCACCCCAGCATATTCCCCAGCGGGCATCACTCAGTTTACACAGGGATGAGGGAGGCAGGATGTTTCTTACAGGATATTCTAGGCATTTTCTGTTTGTGTTACACCACAGACACTGAAAGTGGGTGGAAAAAAAAAATTACATTTAATTTAGTTATTTACATAGGCACCTACTGAAAAACAAAGTGCCATGAAAAGCAAGCTTCATTTTAATGAAACAGGAGTGATCAACACCTCTAAACTTTATCGCTGAGTATACAGTATAACCTGGGTGTATAGTATATACTGAATAACCTCAGCACCACATCCTCAAATAAATCTGAACAAAGAAATGGTATACAAGATTTTTTAAAGGTGCCTTCAAATCCAACCTCAGGAAGAAATCCACACCACAAATCAGTTAACATTCAAATGTTTATTCAATAACGTATTTGTTAAAAAGGAATATGCTCCTAATGATAAAAAATTACATATACTGCTTTATCATCAAACAAAGCCATACCAGTTATTTCAGGTCTTTATTTTTGCTTTATTATTTTTACATTAAAATGTGTAACTTACAAAAATAAAATATTGCATTGGCGTTAACTTGTGACTTTAAAAAGTCAAAGTGTCAGTTACTCTCAGGATCACTGGGTGAAAAAGCATGGTGCATTCCTGAAGAGTGCTGCGCGTTCCTGTACAATTCACATACAGTCCTGAGTGGTGCGATTTCAGTCCATTCGTTTTGAATAGGCTACAAATCACACTGCACCAAAAAGTAGCACAAGCACTACTTTTGGAAACTCACTGCAATTGCTTTGCATGGTACTTCTGTACCATGTGATCCAATGCAGGCAAACACTGCACTTGTGACCCGAGCTTGGGGTGTCATTAATTTACGATTGACAGGCGTTGGAGATAGCACATGCAGTGAATTTTGAATGTGGTGCAGGAAAAACGTACATGGAACATCTTCCTACACAACACTTTGGTGTAAACCAGATCTAAGGATTGGTATTCTCAATTATATGACATTCTGTTCTAGGTTTGGAAACCCCAACCACTGTATGCCTTGCTTACTCATGGATCAGCATTGTATCTAATGACTCATTCATTTAAGTAAAAAGCAAATTCTGTGCCCAATTTATAGTTCATACACTTCTACCAGCTAGCAGAGCCAGAAGGTGACATTATCGGGCAACACAGTGGCTAAAAGGTTAGAATTTCCGCCTGGCAGTACTAGGATAGTTGGTTCAAATCCCAACCATGGCACCGCCTGCCTGAATTTTGCATGTTCCCCCTGTGCTTGCGTGGGTTTCCTCCAGGTACTCCGGTTTCCTCCCTCCAAAGACATGCTGGTAGGTTAACTGGCTCCTGTCTAAATTGGCCCTAGTATATGTAAGTATGAATGTAAGTTAGGGACCTTAGATTGTACGTCCCTTGAGGGTTAGGGACTGATGTGAATGTACTATATCGCTGTGTAAACCGACAGCGCCATATAAGTACCTTAAATAATCAATGTGTTACATTCCTGCCTGCTGATTGGACAGTGAAGACGCAACCATATAAATAGATTAGTAATTCTGCTCACTAGCTGAACTCCAGGGGGAAATAAAAAACACATTATATACTCTGTAGAGTAAAAGGGCAGTGGTGGCTGAAAAGAACTGATTTTGTGAACTCCTGTTCTCACTCTAAATGACTCCATACAAGACCTAATTTTCTGCAGACCAATGGTTCAAAACCTTCTACAACTCGTCAGAGCTTTTGGCATCTTTCAAAAAGGTAACAAACGCCTGCCAAAAGATGGGTATGAAAGACCAAGTAGGATTTCAAAATGCCATCAACCTATTCCATGTTGTCAGTGCATAGGATCGGATCTTGTGCAATTGTATGGAAAGTGGTTCATAAACAATTAATGCTTTTGTAATGCTCCCTGCAAATTGTATTGTAGAACATCTATAAAAATGAATCCAAATTTTGCGTTAATGTTTTCCAGCAATATGGAGTGGCTTTCTCCTTTAACATTGAACACTGGCACACTTCTTCATAGGTTTAAACAGACCCTTCCGTGCATGCTCTTCCATCTGGTTTAATGTACAGTTCTAAACAGATTCACACATTAATGAATGGATATCCATAACCAGTGACACTGTTCATGATTAATACATAGAAATATCTATAGAAATTAAAAAAGGTTAACTGGTGTGTGACTCTACATAAATACAGAAAACCATATACGTCAAGAAATTTTAACTGATGCAGATAACCAGCCAACATGTTCTCCAGCAATCACCGTGTACAGGTTCCATTATCACACATCACAGCATGACCCAGCTACGTCATGGAAAGGACTACTCATACGGGGGAATAAACGTACACATTACAATACAGGGTAGGGTTGAACTGACCATCCAGAAAGTTTACTCACTACTGGCTAAATGCAGGGACAGACACCAGAATACCACATAAAGTTGCACAATACTATCTGATCTGGATTTACTAGTAAATGAAAACAGAATATTGCATCCGCAGATCTGACAAAGGTGGGCGAGGCTACTATGGAGCAATCTATGAGCAAGCAAACCGTTGTGTTGCTGGGTAGATACAGCATAGAGCAGTGGTTCTTAACCTTGTTGGAGGTACTGACCCCCACCAGTTTCATATGCGCATTCACCGAACCCTTCTTAATTGGAAAAATAAAATATGATTTTTAAAATTCAAAACATAGGTATATGTTTATACATAGGTGCACAAAATGAACAAAACCGTTAAGAACAAAGAACAAAACCATTAAAACATGATTTTCACACAAAAACAAAAACATAATGAATATTTACTGCACGAATCATACGAGTCGGGTGTGGGTCTTCACCTCCGCCGAACCCGCGCGACTGACTCACCGAACCCCTGGGGTTCGATCGAACCCAGGTTAAGAACCAATGGCATAGAGCATGATACTTCCGTAGTTTGTGCATTCCTGTCCATGTGCACTTTTCAAATAGGTTTTTTTTTATGCTTATAGCTGCAAGTTCCCAGGACTAGTAATGGAATAGTTTAAAGCGCTTTGTGAAAGTGCTAAACAAGTCATATCAATAAATGCATTCAACTTTCATTTATCCAAACCCCCAATCACCAGTTAATATGTGCTAGATAAAAGTAAACATCCAAGACGGGAAAGGAAAAAAATATAAAATAATAATAAGAATAAATATATATTTTATTTGTGTGTTGTTGAAATCAACAAGCCTGTCCAGCAGTCATTTTGGCTGCTTAATTAAATCTATGAGTTCCTGTTCCCCACAGGGGGTGGGAGATTAGGTTGATCTCAGCAGGAGGCACAGACAGAATGGTGTCCTACAGCTGGGAAAAGCAGACGTGTTGGCACCATGTGCTTGGTTTGGTAGAATTGAAAAGGACAATATAATGTCCCTATGCTGGCAGAAAGGGGCAGAAAACATGCAGAGTTGAAGTCAGTGATGAACAGAGGAGCTCATGGCTGCAGGCCTTGATAGGGGATGCATTGAACTGCTGAGAGATCTGTATGGGCTGTGCTTTGCTTTTTGCATGGCTAGGACTTGTAGTTCTATGCCAGCAATGGGCAAACTACGGCCCGGCGGACCTTTTAATCCGGCCCGCGGAGCTAGGCTCCTCTCACAGTCCGCCCTGAAGACCAGTGTAGCATGAAAATCTGTCTCCTATGAGGATCTGTCCCCCTCGACGTATCTGCGCATGTGCCGGAGATCGCCGATCGGCTGCTAATGCCTGAAACTGGCACATGCGCAGATACGTCGAGGGGGACAGATCCTCATAGGAGACAGATTTTCATGCTACACCAGAACGGGGCGGGAACACGGCGAGAGGAACTCGCGGAGCAAAGGTAAGTGAATTGACACAGGGGGGACTTGGGGACTTAATATGGGGGGATGAATTACTATATGGGGGATGAATTACTATGCTTACTATGGGCGAATATTACTATACTTACTATGGATGACACATACACATCATTCATCTACTCTTGGTCCGGCCCCCGGGTCCAATATATGAACCCATTGCGGCCCTCAAGTCAAAAAGTTTGCCCACCCCTGTTCTATGCTGTCTGTGTCTGGAAAGCCACACAGATTTTATTCTACCCTCTGCACTTCCATCAGCTGCTGCCTGTGAGATCTTGAAGCTGCAGCCAGGACACAGCCCTCCGAAGACCCATGAGGAGTTGGTGAAGGACCGCTGCCCGCTGGACCTCCTTCTCCATGCCTATCTGGCTAGAGTTCCTCTGCTGAAGCCACTGCTGGCTGGCGAGTCCATAAATTGCTGCATCAGTGTGTAGCCTGCTACTCCCAGGGCCCATATTGGTGCTCTTGGCTCGGGACTAAGCCCTGCTGTACTAGAGTGCCACCCTGTGCCAACGACTTCACCCTATTCTGCCAGGAACCCTTTGCACTAAGCATTTACTGCCCTGTTGTGCCCTCACTGCTCTGCAGACTACCTGCCCTCGGCTACACCATGTTGCCATCCTGAGAATCATTCTTCGTTGGGGCATCTTATGTTTTGTGGACTAGTTTTTCTATTGTCTGTACCCCCAAGTCACCCCAATAAACGCCCGCACGATGGGTTTCGCATGATCTGCCTCCATGTGCTCTGAGTTCCTAGTTAATATACAGTTGTGTTAAAAAGAATAGCAGTGTGTTGAAAAAAAAAGTGAATGAAGCTCAAAATCCTTCTAATAGCTTTTCTTTCCATACACAAATGCATTGGGAACACTACACATTCTATTCCAAACATGAAGAAAGATCAAATTTGTGTTCCTCAAAAAAAAAAAAAAAAAAAAAAAAAAACACACCCCCTGAAGAAAAGTGAATATTAGACTGTTAAAAAAATAGCAGTGTTTGTATTCAAACTCAAACATTCACTATATAAACTGAAAAATGTTTGAAGATTTTGCTTTCCTTTGAATCACTTGAATATTTAGTTGTATAAGCACAGTTTCTGAGAACTGCTGTACATCTGTGTTGCATGGAGTCAACCAGCTTCTGGTATTCCAGCCCAGGATGATTGACTACATTCCACAGTTCTTCTCTATGTCTTGGTTTTGCCTCAGAATGTTTTCCTTATTGTAGATGTGTCAACAAA